AACGGGGACGTGTCATTGACAATGACTTGTTAAATTTTGAATTGAGTATGCTTGACAGACCAGGAACAGATGGGATATGCTTTAAACACTTAACTAATTAGAGTGAGTAAACATTACTATCTGTGTGATAAATCATCAAAACCCAAAACAAATATTATTTAGACATTTTAATTTGGTATTAATACTTCCCATAATATTTTTAGTGCCAAAGTCAACTTTGGTGACCTTTCTAAAAATAAAAATGATCAAGGTCTATCAAAACAAATTACTGTGGAAGTAGAAATTATTTGTGTGGTTTTAATTTCACGAATTTCGCGAGGAGTCCAAAACAGCGAATTTAAAACCACGCGAAAATGTTCTTTTCCGCGTTGGAATGTAGAACACAATACAATACCCAAGTCAAAACAACACCCACTCCTGATCTTACCCACGATGTTACAAGTTTTACCTTAATCATTGACACCTATTCAAGAGTACGATGTTCATTGTTTTTAGCGTTAATGGGTAAAGCTTCGTTTCGACAATGAGCTGTTATCACCGTAAATAATGTTAAATTAGTCTTCAGATGTTCAATTTATCTTCGAAAACAACTAATTTCTTGATTAAAAAATAATCATGCCGTTTTCCTATCAAAATCAAAGATAAAGATTGGACCACAACATCAGCAAGTCTCTCCCGTGTTGTGTTCAATAACATTAACATATTCGAATGAGCTATGGTAATTTGAACACGTTGGCATCATCCAGCATTTTGATTGGTTGTTTAGGGAGTTGATCTATTAAAGACATTTACATGCGATCGGAATCATTCGCTTACGGTGAAACTAAGTTGAATTTTACTTGTATCGCATCCAGCATTTACATGCGATCGGTCAATACGATACGATATCCGCCATGTTTTTGACGGCACACGTGACGTCTTTATTGACCGGATAGGTCAAGTCGCTAATTAACCAATCAAAATGCTGGATGGTGCCCATGTGTCTAAATTACATAGCTCATTTAAATATGTTAATGACAGTTCAGCGACCTCATGGTGAACGCAACTGCAACACGGAAGAGATTTACTGATAATGTAGTGCGATATTCTGGCTTTGATTTCCATGGGAAAACAGCATGATTTTTTTTTTAAATCAAGAAGTTATTTGTTTTCGAAAGATAAACTGAGCATTGAAGTAGAATTTAACACTTTTACGATGATAACAACTCATTGTCGAAAACTTACGAAACACAGACGTATTCAGAAAGAGTATTGACAGAGGTTGCCGCCAGAACAAAAGCAGTTTCATTGCGTGTCTGACATCTTATCACCGCTGAACAATAAATAGGTGTGAATATTTTTAGGCACGTTGTCGAAACAAATGAATAGGACTAGGAACAATGCCGCTTTGGACCAGCTGGTTGAAGTCAGTCATGGTCTTGTTGAATCGGGGGTGCGGTTACTAATAGGTACTTTTCAAGTTTTCAATTTTTCTTTAGAACTCTTTAACCCCGAAGCCGGAATTAGGGGTGCGGTTATTATTACGGATGCGGTTTATATTAGGACTTTAACGGTAACGGCAACATTTCAAATGATAGTTTTTGTATAACTTTCTGATACCTGGACGCTGGAAGTAGTGTCGCGTGAGTATCAGATTCCTCTTTGGTCTCCTCCTTCTCTGACTCTTCACCTTCCCTCAGGTCTTTTGCCGAGGGACGAGGTCAAGGCGGAGACGATCCGACAGGAAGTAGCAAGCCTTCTGAAAAAAAAGGGCGATACGCCTAGTGGGGAACCCCAGTGTATCACCAGGGTTCTATTCCCGCATCTTCCTCATTCCGAAGAGTTCGGGGGATTGGCGTCCAGTCCTAGTCCTCAGTCGGCTGAACGGGTTTGTGGAACTCAAGCGCTTCCGGATGGAAACACGTGGGTATCAGATTCGGCTTCGGTACTTCTGTCAGTGCGATTGGACATGCAGCCGGTATCTCAGACTCCCATTAGAGGGCAAAGTCTATGAGTCTACCGCCTTCCCCTTCGGGCTGTGCATGGCACCGTATGTCTTCACTAGAGTGCTAAAACAGGTGACCCAGCTGCTATTCCGGTCGTCGGTCTATCTGAACCCATATCTTTTTTATTAAATGTTGCCAAGTCCAACCCAATACTGTCCCACAGCCTGGTTTTTCTGGGTATGTAGTTCGACACGGAGCATGGGCGTGGTCGCCCCTCGCAGGAGCGATGCGGCTCTCTGGTAGAGCTCGCCAGCCAACTCCGGTCGACGGGTTCGATGTCAATGCGCGAACTGATGCAGCTTTTTGACAAATGACTTCAGTTCGTCATCTGGTTCCGTTAGCAGCTCTCTGGTCTCATCCGATTCAGAGGTGCTCACTGGACTACAGAATCCACATGCGGAACCTGACATTCAGGGTTCAATCGTCGGACCAAGCGATGACGACCCTCCTTTGGCAGAAGGACGCATGGTATAAGAAACGGGAACACCCCTAGATCTGACAACTCCCTCACTGACTCTCATTACAGATGCGTTGCCCCAGGGAGGGGGCGGCCATCTGAGGGACCTTCAGGTCCAAGGGGATGTGGCAGTCCGCGTATTTGGACTGCCACATCTATTGGTTGGAGTTGCAGACCGTCCTACTGTCTGCAATTTTTTTCAGGAAGTCGCACACCACCACAAAGTCCTGCTTCGTACAGACAACACCTCAGTAGTGCCGTACATCAAGGAGGGGAGGGACACGTTCCCCCACATTGTCGAAGCTAGCAGAGGAGATTCTCCTTTGGTGCCTGGATAACCAGGTTGAGCTATCGGCTTACAACTTTCCGGGGATACGCAACAGCGGCGGGCGCCCTGTCGAGACGTATTCGGTTCCAGAACACCGAGTGGCAGTCCCCCCCCAATGGGTGGCGGACCGGCAGTTTTGTCTCTGGGACGGGCCCCAGGTAGTTCTGTCCATCATTGGAATGCCAAGCTCCCGACGTACGTGTCACTCTTCCCGGAGACGACCGCTTTCGTCACGTACGCTCTAACGATCTCTTGGAGTCGCAGGGACACTTACGCTTTTCTCATTTCCAACTGGGCGCCAATTGTTGGAGAAGCTGTGACTCGAGCCCACCTGTCTTCTGACTTGGGTGGCGCCCTATTGGCCTGTGAAGGTCTGGCTCCCAATGTTGCTGGAACTTCTAGTCGAGTCTCCCGTGGGGTTGCCGGATCTTCTGGATCTGTTGTCCCAGCCGGACGGCACTGTACCAATGAGCCCCGCGCTATTCCATATTCGCGCGTGGAGGCTATCAATAAACTCGTGCAAGCACTAGGCTTTTCAGTGGAGTTGTCCAAGTTCCTCACTTTGACAGAGTCGGATGGCACCAGACGTTTGTACGATTTCAGATGGAGACCGTACATTGATTTGTATGATGGAAGGGAGATTGATCATCATATTTTGAAGACTCGGCTGGGCTTTCTTGCCAGGAATCCCAGGGCGTGACCGAGAGCCGACCGTCATCTCACGCCGCACTTGCATAGTGGGCAAGGAGGACCGTTTGGGACGGATTCTATGCCCGGTCTGAGCTCAGGTCCAGGGTCCAGTGGTGACAGGTCAGACTGTGTTCGCTGACCCAGCCCGCACCACCAAGGGACCTATGCGCGAAAGTGTTAGTGCGTTAGTGCCTTCAGTCAAAACCAGCCTCCTTTGCTCAACGTTACCGAACCCTAGCAATATACTGTTTCAATGCATTAAAATTGTTGGGGGCCCTATTTATTGTTCAGTGGACCGGCTTTAGTAGCCTCCCTAAATTGGGGGGTCTACCTTCGGCACCCAGTCCCTGAAGAGTCACCTAATTGGTTTTATCCTGGGACTAGACTCTTTGTCGGTGAGTAGCTTTAGATTTCTCAGTTTTGTTTTTGGACCTTCTTTTTTGAGGTCGAAAAATATACATTTCAGCCGTCGGAGCTTCCCCACCTCCGGTGAGTGCTACTCTGCCTACGAGTAATAAATGGAATTTATTATTTCCACAGACTTTCTGGTAGGTGATGTAGTAAACTATTAGGGTTGTACAAACCCGTTTGTTTACCTAATCATACCTACCAGAAAGTCCGTGGAAAACCCGCCCACCTCTCCACAAGCTTCCGGCGGCCCGTTGTGGCAGCGGAAACATTGTGGGAATATCGGATCACACCTTGTATGTGTGTATATATTCCCTAACAGTTTCCGATTGGGGGTGTAATCTGTAGTTAAGCCTACGAGTAATAAATGGAATTAATTATTTCCACAGTCTTTCTGGTAGGTATGATTAGGTAAACAAACGGGTTTGTACAACCCTAATATTCACTTTCTTGCAAAATAAATGATGATGGTTTAGTTGATAGAAAATATTTGCTAATAACATTGAACTATAATTTTAAATCAAGATCTATGTTTTATTGCAGTCTCCAATTGACGAGCTTTGTGCAAAAAAAGCTAGGGGAAATGGTCTGTGTCGCAAAGTAGTAGGACATGATGCTATAGTGACATCAGGAGTTTGGTTAGGTGGCCCACATCCAGTTGTCACTCCAATTCATCGACTATCTGCATTTCGCCCATGGTCTCCAGCAACATTGGCAAAAGAAGCTAAAATGAAAGAAATGGAACAGGCAGCGCTAATGAGGGACAGGTGAGAATTGCTTACTAATCTTATTTTACTTGGTAACTGTTACTATGTGTCATAAATGTATTATTGAAATATTAAAACAATCACAATTATGCCTCTAGTGGTTAAGTGACACTGCCCATAAAGGTGGCTGATTTTATGAGGACTAGTAAAAACAACAGCATGCTTTTACACTGGCCTACTATCCCAAGAGCACCTACAGTACAGTTCTCGCGAAAGCTTTGGCTTCACTTCAGCTTCACCTTCGCTTCAGCATCGCATCATTATGGCATTGTTATGGCTTCAGCATCGCATCAATGTCGCGACATTAAAAAGTTAGGCGGTTATGGCTTCGCTTCATTATGGCGACAATGTGGCATCAGCATCGCTTCATCAAACAAAGAAGTACAGAACTCATTTCGCCCAACCTCTAGCCCGCTTCCGCTTTTCAATTGCTCGCTTTTGCGACCGCTTGTTGAATTTCCGACTGTGCAAAAATTCGGACTACTAACAATTTTCTGGTTTTCATAGATCACGGTTACTAGTTCAGTAACTGTGCATAGATGTTGAACAACCGTCAAAAGTTCAAATACTTTTTGTTTCAACTATCTATAATTATATGCACGCAATCTGACCCTTTGACCTAGATTTGGCTGGGATTGACTATTTTATTTTAAACAATATTCTGACGTTACGCACTGCTATACAAAATGTATTTCAACAGAAGTACGACATGGTTGTCCGGGTTTCTTTTCTGAAAAAACTGTTGAGTTTACGATTTGTATAATTATTGTTATTT